TTTGAACAGAAAGGAATAATATGTGCCTCAATTCATAAAAAAGGAAATGGAGATGCAAAGTACTTGTACAAGATGCCAGCTACTTACCCTGCTACCACTGTTCAGTGACATTGATACAAATGTGACCACAGCAAGTCTGTCATGGAAACCTAGTTTCCAAAGAGCCTATGCTTGTTTTTCTTTTTTGGAGACCAAATTTTCCAAGATGAGATGCAAAGACATTTCTAAGCCTTCATATGAAAGGCTTTTAATATTCATTCTCAACCATTTATTTAGTTCCCACCATGTGCAAAGCACTGTATTAGGTGGGTCTTGTAAAATATACTAGATGAGGGACTGAAAGATCATTTTTGGTTTAAAAAGCCAAATTATGAAAATGCAATATTTATTAGGCACTTGTGAGATAAAAGGCTCTTGCTAGAACACCACCTCTGTAGGCTTTATGCCTCCGTAAAATGTCTAGTTTGCTCAGTTGATAAGAGCATGATGCTAATGAGAGCCAGGTCAGGAGCTTAATTCTTGACAGCTTTGTACGAGGAATGTTAATTCTGACCAACGATGTCTGAAACCCAGTGGGTTAGTTCTACAGTTGAGGGAAGTACGGCTCGTTGAGCTGACTCTGGCCTGGTGAGCATAGAGGGCCACCACATGGACACAAGAGGCTGGAAGTGGAACTTTCGAGGGCAGGCTCCCAGATTCCTCCCCTAATGCAGTAGGGGATAGGGACATGGGACATGGATGTAGGGCTGATACTGGAACAGGATTTGTTTGGGGGATTAACACTTCTTTTCCCCTTCTGATGTTTCTTTCCATGTGTAGGGAGTTCAAGATGTCTCCTGACATCTCTCTACTCTTTGCCTCTCTCTGCCTGAGGAGAGGTGTCTACCTGCCCAGTGAACTTGGGAGGAATGAACTGACCTTACTGGCCTCTCCCTTTTACCCTCTGGGAGCTAGCTGCCTGCAGGGTGCATGCTGCCCCAAGCAGCTGTCAACAAGTGCATTTGGCTGCCTGATCCTGGTGTTCAGAAATAGGAAGGCCATTTGCCTACAAAAACAAGCTACCTCCTCCGATCTAGACCTTCTCAGTTATAAAGGTGATATTTTGGTACCAATCAAGTCTAGAACCAGCTCAGCAAAGCTGAAGCATTCTGTATAAGATTCAGGAGGCCAAACAGGCTCTCTCATTAGGCAGACTGCTCCAGTCTTGCCTGGGGAAAATGCAATGTTCTGGAATATTTTCTGTAGACCCAGAGTTAAAGGTCAGAATCCCTGGGAATCCTTGTGTCCATAAACTATACCTTTAAATTTAGCCAGGAAACAAATATGCTTATACAAGTGAAGGGCAGGGACATCCTCTTAACATTGCCTGGAATGATTAGGGCTCATGACTTAGTTAATAAGCTGCATTGTCAGGCATGGGATGTCAGCAATGTTGTATAGATGTAGAACTGGGTTTGGCCTTTTTAGTCTCTCAAGGGAAGTCAATATTTTCTTCTTCTTCACTCTGCCTCTCCCTTCCGAGGAGGATTGATGTGGATTGTGAAGAAATTTGCTCTTACTTTCTGAAGACAAGGAGAGCCTGGGTGAGGGTGTCTGAAGATGCCTGCATGCGAGTAAGGATGAGGTTTCAGTGGCCTCTGAGCTCCAGACCAACCTCCTAAAATCATCCTGTCGGCCCTTGGTGTTTCTTGGCTGGGGACAATGGCAGTCTATTTATTGGTTTCAGTTGCTAAGAAGTGACCATCCTCAGAACGGAGGCTGTTGCCCTTAGCTACACATTTCTTTGTGGGCATAATCTTGGATCACATGGCACCAAGTCAGCAGCCGGGCAAAGCACAGGACCTGATGAAATATTTTCCCAGTGTCAGCCTCCTTTTGTAAGATAGGCTGTGGCGAATTCAGCTTAGATATGACACACATCCTTTTCAGTCAAAGGAAAGGTCTGGCTTTAACACTGTCCTCTTCCCTCTCAAGGAGGGATTTGCTTATTTATATTCTGAGATGTGTCAGTTCAGATAATGCTCCCTGAATGATCTCTTTCCTAATACCCCAGTCCCAGAGGATTGCCAGAGGTAATGGGTCATTGCACTTACTGGCTGGTAGGCAGTGCTACTCTAATGGTGGCTGCTGTTGTCTTTCTCACCTTGGAGAAGGGAAGACTCAGGGGGCTGGTGCCTGTCTTCAAATCATGAGTATTTTTGTTTTATCTCATCCCATTCCATTCCATCAGTCTTACAGATTGGACATTTTTATTCCAGGTAATTGTTGATTGTGATTCTGTTTTGAATTTCATTGCTGCCTTCGGGCGCCCTAACTCCTTGATCCCTCCTTTGTTCTGTACTCATCTTCCAATTTGAAAGGACTCTTCCAGTTTTGATATTTATCTTTAACATAGATGCACTCTTAATTTATGCAACTTTCCATTATGTATCAAGAAGACGATGCTGGGGGAGGGGTGTCTTTATGTGTCTTCTACCCTGAAGCCATTTGCAGGCTTTTGTCTTTTTCTTAAGGCAGTTCCACACGCACCCACGTGTGCTGACGTTTGAAAAGGCTGTGAAATTAAAGCTACGTAATTATGAATACTGTGAAAAAGGTTTTGACAACTTTTGGTGGCATTTAATTCAAGTTGAACTCCTCTCATTCAAAATAATAAGCATAATGTTACTTATTATGTAAATGAGGTGGCAGAGCAGATGTTTTTCATCCTGGTGCATTCACTGGGGATTAATAAGTACAAAAGCTGAGCAGGGGGGGCCTGGGTTCAACCTGGGGGTTTGAATAAGGGTTGATCAAGAGGAAGGATGATTACTCTGGAGATGCCCTGTCCACTATGGAGCCAATAACCACATGAGGCTATTTAAATTTACAGCTGTTAAAATGAAGTAAAATGAAAAGTTTCTCAGTCACATTAGCCACAATTCATGTGCCAGCTACCTGTGGCTGGAGGCTACTTACTGAACAAAACAGATACAGAACATTTCTATCACTGTGAGAAGTATGAAAACCATAGAAGTTTTACAATGGGTAGGGATGCTTGTGTTATCCACATCAGCTGGAACATTATCCATAAGAGCTCTACAAGCTTCTCAGAAAGGGTGTAGGTCCCTATGGAGCCAAGAGATGAAGGAGTTGCAATGAGACTACAGCTGCGCCTTGAAAATTTTAAATGTGCATATGTATCGTATATCGTATCACCTGGAGCTCTGAAGGTGCAGATACTGATTTGGCAGGTCTTGGGTGAGGCCTGAGAGGCAGTGTCCCTATGTGGCTTCCAAGTGACACTGCTCCTGGTCTGGGGACCACACTTGGAGAAATCACTGATTTGCAGCACTGGTTCTCAATCCTGGCTACACTTTGTAATCACCAGGGGAGGTTTAAAAACTACTGATGCCTAACAATTTGGATTTAATTTAATTATTTGGGGTATATTCTGGGCACTGAAGACTAAAAAAATCCCCAAGAGATCACTCACCTAAAGTGATTAAAATCTGAGAACCATTGATAGTAATAAAGCCAGTTTGTTAGGTCTGAGGACCAGAAGGGCTGGTTTCACCTGGAAGTTTGTTAGAAATGCAGATTCTCTGGCCCAAACCCTGTCGTGCTGAGTTACAATCTGCATTTCAACAACAATCCCCAGGTGATTTCATGCACAGTGAAGGTAGGGACTACTGCACTAGGTAGCCTTTAAGTTAATGTTGTATCTATCTACCTTTATGTGCTTTAAAGAAATTCCTTAACAAGTTCTGTTAGTTCCTAAAAATATTGGGGCATAAAAATTTAATCCATACTTATGCCAAATTACTGAAGTTTTATTATTGCAGAGACACAGGCTGGTGGTTTCTGCTTGTATGGTAACAGAAGGTATCAACACTCCTAGCAGGGCAGAAACTGGACTTTCATATTTCAAGTAGGTCAAGAATAATCAAGTTTTTTAGGAACCAATCCCACCTTTGTATAAAACTTATTATTTGAGATAAAGTGCTATTCCCTTTTCACTTCAATGCCTTTTGAATTTAGAAAATCGTGTACTTCTAATTCATTACCACCTATAAACAACGTAGATATATTCTTAATTTATGTAACTTTTCATTCTGCAACATTAAGATTGGGAGGTGAAGGAAGGAGCTATAGTGTCTTTACAAAAAAAGTTTCTAAGACGGTTTTTTTCTAATAGTCCTTCCAAGGAGTATTTTAGAGAAACAGTGCCAAAGAATCTTAATGTAGAAAGGCCAACTCTGTGATGCAGATGTGAGAGCAGTACCTCTCAAACTTGAATGTGGTAGCAATCACTTGGAGATCTTGTTAAAACCCAGACTCTGATGCAGTAAGTCTGGGGTGGGGCCTGAGACTCTGTATTTCCAGTAATCAGGTGTAGAGATGCTATGGTCGAGGGACCACAATTTGTTTAGCAAGAGGTGGATGACTCTTCCATGATACCTTTTTGTAAACTCTCAAGACTCAAAAACTCAGAAGGTCTGGTATGCACAATAAGAAGGGTGATTTTGTTGAAAGTGCTAATTTGCTCATTTGAATCATCTAAAGAGAGACATCAAAAGGTCAAAATTATTCATAGACCCATCATTAATGGAAAGCTAATTGGGAAATGAAGTCATTTAAGGCAAAAGCAAAATAGTAACACAAATACCTCAGATGACTACTAGGGCAAAAATTTCAAAATGTTGCAAGCTGTCTGCATGCTTGAAGTAGCAATTTACATGCATAATTAGGTGCAATCAACAGTTTTGAAATGTAATATTTTTTTTTCTGAGCTCATATTTACTTATGACAGATGCAAAAAAAAAAAAAAAGAATTCTGTGTCCCCAAAAACTAGAAGGGTAGAGAAAGGAAAAATATTTGCATTTAACAATGGGACTCTTTCTTCACAAGCACATGCCTAAATTTAGAACTAGTTGAAGTATTGTATCTTTATTCTGATTTAATCTTCATTTAAGCCTTGAAAGAGGTTCACAAACACATTACAGAAGCAATAACTTACCAGTCAACTATTCCAGCTCCTGTTGGAAATGACATGTAATTTTTATTTCTACACTGGAAAAGGAAAATCTGCCAAATTCAAGACTCTTTTGCACAAAACACCATTGAGTTTCTTCCTGCCTTCAGAAAGGGCTTCATTCTGCAACAATAACAAATATCTTTTGGAATAATTTACATAAAAAGATTAACTAAACTGGCAATTTCTTCTCCTCAGATGAGTGCTCATCGTGAATTTCTATCACCTTACTATCTTCAGCACAGCCGGCAATGATTGCTGAGCGCTCACCATGCACTAGGACCCTCGGCTAACCACTTGACACAGATTATAATTTACGATTATAAAACTACTATAAGAATTGATTTATTACAATGTGCTGGGGAGGAAATGAGAATAAGTAACTTCTTTAGAGGCACAGATAGCTCTGTATTTATTTTCCTGGCTGGTACTTAGATCATTTAAAAAGTAGAGTGAACTGCAGACTAAGGGTCATGGTATCATTCAAAAAGTATAGTGAATTTCAGACTAAGGCGCAAGGTGACTTTAGTTACTAGTTCCCAATTTAGAAAATGAGTTTGACATCTAGTTTGTAAAAATGTTGAAGAAGAAGAGAATGAGTATTCAGTTCCCAAACTTTTCTCTTTCCAAAAGCATGTTCACATGGTATTATCCAGATTGGCTGTCTACGCTGATTAAAGTGGCAATTAATTTCTGTCACACAGGCAGAGTCAACAGATTAAGAGATTGCATTGAAGGATGCGACCTAATAATGTGTTCTTGTGTAACCTCATCTCTTGGGACAGTATGTCTTGATATGTAAAAGTTATCTTTAAGGAAATGCAAAACAGTCACAAACAATGCAATTTTCTGGTTTCATTAGGCAAGCGTTATCTGTGATACATTATATGTTAGGGGGAAAAAGCCACTCTGCTAAGAAGTGCATGAATAGTTCATTTATCTGCTGATCCATTTGGGGGCATTATGGAACTCCAAGCCCAGAACAATGGGCTCTATTTAATATTAAACAGGTTCTGCGTGACCCGCTGTTTCTCTCCAGAGCTGCTGGAAGATCCTTCCTGGCCGTGCAGAGTTGCAGCAGCTCTCGTGAAGTTGTAAGCTACTCCCCGGGACCAAGTGGTGTTAAATTTAGAAGTCATCCTGATCACCTGACTGTCGGTGAGCCCCAATTTGAGAATTTCCGAGTCCACCCTTGTCATCTCTGTCTGTATTTATAGACGCAGCTCGCCGCCTGGCCGAGGGTCACCGCCGGAGCCCCGGGAGAGCTGCCCTGCTGAGGACGCCCCTCCAGCGCCGAGCGCCGGCCACGCGGGAGCGGCGCCGCCGGGCTGGCGCCCACCCGGGAGCCCGTGGCAGTAAATGCCTGGCAGCGGCTGCTCGCTTCCCCCTCCGTCTCCCCCACCGACCCTCCACCGCCGACCTTTACGCCGAACTCGGGCGCGCGGCGAGCCTCGCGGCCTCGCCCTCCGCGTGGGGCCCCACCCCTTCCCGGGTCCGGCCCACGGTCGGGCGGCAGGCGAGGGTAGGTGCGTTTCCTGCCAGGGTGGCCGCCGCCTCTTCCCTCCAGTTCCCGGGTCTCGCCGTGCGGCGCGGGGCGGCGGGCGGCCGAGCAGACCGGGGCGCGGGGCTCCGACACCCACGCGCACGCCCCGGGGAGCGACCCCGCGACGCGCTCGCTGCGAGAGGGGGAGGCGGGCGGTGGGGTGGGTGGGCGCGCCAGCCCCTGGCCCTCGCGCACGCTCCCCTCCTTCCCGGCCTCGCCGCCACCTCGCTCCCAGGTCGGAGAACCGCCCTCCTCGGCTCCGGCGCGGCGGGGAGCGGGCAGGGGAGGGGGGCCGGCGCCTGGCCCGCCGGCGGGGACGGCGGATTCACTTACACCTGACGTTGTCTCCGCCGGGCAGTGCGTCCTGCAAAGCCCGGCCATCCGGTTTGTTCTTCAGTAACTTTGTTCGGAAGGTTGGCGAGGAGGGGAAACGCCGAGGGCCCCCAGGAGAGGCCGGAGAGCCCCGAGAATCGGGAGGCCGGGCGGGAGAGCAAGTCCCCAAGCCGCCCGGCGCTGGGCGCGCGGCTGGGAGGCGCCGCCGCCGCCGCCGGGATGCGCTCCGCTTAGCGGGACTGCCGGGGGCGCCTGAAGGCCACCGCTCCAAGGACGCGCGGCCACCGCGCCTCGCGCGCCCTGGCCCAGACGCCGCCGGTGCCCGAGCCGAGCAGTAGCGGAGCGGCGGGGAGCGGGCGACGGGTGGCAGGAGGGAGGGCGCGCGGGAGGCGGCCGCTCCTCGGCGAGCCATGCGTGCCACGGGCAGCTGAGGAGCCGCCGGGCGCCGCTGCCAAGTCCCCGCTCCGCTTTTGTCTTGCCCTCCAGTGAATGGGAAGATGGAGATGGATGTTGAGGGAGTTTCTCCGCGCTCGGAGCCCATCCCCCGCTCCCAGGGGGCTGGCGGAGCCTGCCCGGCGCCACCACCGCCGCCCCAGCCCCAACCCCGGCCCCGGCCCCGGCCCCAGCACCAGCCGCAGCCGCCGCCGCCGCAGCAGCTGGCTCAGGATGACCCGCCCGGCGAGAGTGCGGGCGCTGAGGACAGCGACGATCCCGAGGCGCGACCCCACAGCGAGAAGGGGGAGAGCAAGGTAGGTCCACAGTGTCGGAGCTGTGACACCTTTTGCACAAAACCAGGAGCTCTAGTAGTGGCTGTCACTTTAACCTCTCTGCTGCCCCCACCCCTTCCCTCGCGTGTGTGGTGGTGGGGGCTGCAGATGTGGGGACGGCGTGAGGTCCAAAGGGACCGAAGAGGGACAGTGACTTTCTGAACGGGAAGGGTGTGCAGAAGTCTGGTTTCCGTATTCGTCTGTGTGTGCAGAGCAAAGTCTTGTGGCACAGGCGGTGTGCTGCCCAGGGTAGAGCCCGGCGCCTCAGGAGAGCGGCGTGCAGAGACGTCTGCTCGCGCGCGCCGTGTAACCGAGGCTTGTTTGGGGGATCTAGGTCAAGGGAAGCATGTCTTCAGGAGCTGCCCAGCGGCTTCTAGACTCCTCGGAGGCAGGTGACATCAACCTAAAGATGACAACAGTGGGAGCGAAGTTTGGCTCATTTGCTTAATGGAGAGCAGGAACGGAGAACAGTGCTTTCCCGGCGCTCTAAGCCCGAGGTTCTCCTTTTCCGCGGGCAGCACCCCCGCTGGAGGGCAGGGACAAGTGCCTGGCAGCAGAGGAGCCCTGCTGTGTCATTGTAGACCAGGGATAGCTGCTCCTTACTGTGGAGAGAGGGGTTCTTCAGGTAATTGGATTCCAGGAAGAAATGGCTCAAATGCCATTCTCTGGTGCTGGTGTCTCTTCCGTTGAGAAAATTGTAGAGGAAATGCCGAGAAAATAATGCCTTGGTAATGTGATTAGAGTGTATTTATTACAGCTTTGTCTCTGAGCACAGCCTTCCTTCTCCATGCACGCTTGGAGTTCAGGTTTGAAAGCTAGAGCTGTTCAGCTGCGTTTGTGTGAAGTGTACACATGTAGTTGTTAATACATTTTGAAACTGGCTGCTAATGTTGGGGAAAAGTTGGTTCGGCAAATCAGAGTAGTGGAACCCAAGAAGGGTCAGTCAGTGCACTTTCTCCCTTTTGCTCACCTGAGGAGGTGTGGGAAGACAGCCATTTCTGGTGAGAAAAGAATTGCATGAGTGCGTCTTCTAGGAGACTGCTCCGGTTTCTGTTGGACCTCTCCGAAGGCACTAGAGGATTAAACAAATACCTGAAACGTGTCGAGATCACATTGAGTGTCGCTGTGTGTATCTGGAGACAGGCTCCCTTAACAAGGTGGTATTTGCGAATGTTCAAAACTGTTTTGCATTTTGAAACTGAGCTGAGGATTGAAATTGTTGTTTATCTACCAAAATCAATATTGTAATTTAAATGGCAGTCGACTGAGGAACTGGAATTTGAACACACTCTAGATGGGACTGGGGAGCCTTACAAATACATACAAGATTTACCTTGTAAAAACTATGATGAATTTTAATATTCTGATATCCTCGACTTTGCAGTTGCTTTTGATTTCATGAATATTTAATTCTGTTACGACTGCATATTTACTACTTTAAATGACTGTCTGCACTCAGTTGTATGAAATAACCATAACTGAGCATCATATTACCTAGTTGAATAATTGTCTTTTGCAAAATGGGTGTGGGGAATAATTAAAATATACAGCTGGTGCTGCCATTTCCATATCATTGGTTCATATGCCGTGAGCATGAGAAATTCCTGCCATCAGCAAAAAATCTATGCTTATTTGTTTCTCTTTGATGCACCATGCAGACTGTCTGATGTTCTCCTGGTTGGGAGGCAGGAGGAAGGCAATACCCTACAAATATTACAGCAGGTAAAGAGAGGGCTGAAAGCGGGTTGATTACATATCGTTAATTAGCATGTTCAGATTACAGTATTCCACTGATGTGATTTGGTTTATGTTTGTCTGCAATTTCTTGGGGTGGAAACAAAATAGTACTTTTTCCCCCTCCAGGTGTGTGTGTTAAAAAATGATGTTGCAGCCTCTCTTAACCCAGAAATCAGCTGTGTTAACCCTTTGCTTGTCTCTGGTACCCTGCGGCTGGTTCTTCTAAGAGTTTGAGAACAGCTGCTGTGTGTTTCAGACTTGAATAACTCTTTTTGTCTTTGATGGATAGTAAGGCAAGTTGTAAATGGACTTTTCTTAGCAAATCCTGGTTTCATTAGTGGGAAGGCCTTTGGGTGTCTGACCAAATTATTCTACTAAAATATAAATGGAAGACAAAGTGGGATAAAGTGGAATGGGGTTTCGCCAAGCTGTTTGGGGTGAGGTGGGGACATGATCACCTTAGGATTTAAACACAGTAATGTGCAAATGTAAAGTACTGAACTATTATGTTTTCTTTTCACTCATGAGAGTAATAAAACAGGAATTTTGGATATTATATTATTTACTTATCCCAAGCCAGGGTACTATAAGAGGATGTCAGTGGATATTACTACTCCTCCCCCACCTATCAAAGAAGTGTTCAGGGAATAATGGCATTTTTTTCCAGATTCTGGTTTGGGGCCATAATTTATTTTCTCATGAATTCACTGCAGTTGTCTTGCTGGAAAAGAAATCACTTAGTGCCAGATCAGCTTGTCTCCTAAATTGCAGGTTCATGGTCATACATTCTCAGAAAGTCTCTGAGCTAGAAAGAAAGGTTAGAAAACTGGATCAGTCAAGGGATATTTTTTACACCAGAGTTCCATGACATAACTGGTGCTTTCTGTTCCTCGAACAACAATGCCTGATTCCTCTGCAGCAACTACTCTTGGTATATATGCTATATATTTGATTCCACAAATTGGAGAAGACCCCACACTGACCGTCTCTTCCTGCTCTGTGCTTTAAGGCAGGTTCATATTAAACCGTTACAAAAAGCAATCACGTCCGTAAACAATGCCGTGACCCCCTTTGGGGACTTAGTGAGCTATCTCCTGACCCATTACCTCAAAGAGTTCTTCCTCCTATCTGGAAAGAGGTTTTCCATACTAGACAAAATTCTTTTCTTCGAATCTTACAGTTGAAGATGAAATGATCACTGTCCTTGAGAGGGAGACCTTGAAATCCCTGGCGACCCTGGCTTTGATCATCGTCTAAACCTTCTTGCAGAGTTTTCTGTAGGCCTTACTTATTCCATCCTTTCAGTGCCTTTTAAAACCCTCTGAAACACTTTGCTTACTAAATAACTCTGGGATAGATACTGCTCAAACTTTGCTTGGAAAGGTTAAAAAAAAAAGTTCCTTGTGTTGAGGACTAGACCTCAGTATTGTGTTGCATCTGTGTTATCAAGTTACTTATACATATTTCTTCTTCTGATCCCAGATGAGTGATATTTGATTTTTTCTTGTCAGATTTAGCTTTGTCTCATTCATATGTTCTCTTTTTCTTCCTCTGTCTGTCCATGTCTCTTACACACACATTGTTTACCGTGATGCTTTATATAAAAGTATGTATTTATGGACAAGGTGGGAGGTATGACCAAACTCTTTTTTTCTGTTGCTCAGCTCTTATGAAATCCTTGGTTTGAAGGTAGTGTTATTGTTGTGGTTCTGAACTAGAGAGATTACTGTTGCTACATCAATACCTCACCGATCAACAGAACTCAAGATTCTCCCTTCAATGGCTCGCATCAGTAATGCCATCCTAAACTGTCAGTCTTAACACAGGGTGCTGTAGGGAACCTCTTGCCCAGCCTTGTCCAGTGCATTTTTAAAAGCCTTTCTTTAGAAATAATTTTGGATTCACGGAAGAGTTACAAAGGTAAGAGAGAAGATTCTCATACTATTTGCCCAGCTTCCCCTCATGTTAACTCCCACTCAGTCATGCTGTGTATGTCCCCCATGAAGAAATTAACACAAGTGTGATACTATTAGCTGAAATTGTGCCGTCAATTTTTGCTGAGCAAATGTGTGACATACCAAAATTTTCCATTCTGTCCTTACAGGATGTAAAACTTTCTTCCCACCTAAAAGGCTCTATGAGAGGGTGTTTAAGAGCCAAATTTAACTTTAGATTAACTATGTCCCTTCTTTCCTGGTGGGTAGGAGCAGCTGGTGAATTATAAAGGTTGAGGTCCCGAGGGCTGTGCATGAGGCTGCAGTGAGCCCTGTGGGAGCTGGGACTTTGGCAAAGCTCTTGAGTGCTGTTAACTTATCGGGAATGACAGTCTTTTTAATTTTATACTGAAACACATTCCTGCACCAGGTAAGATAGGGTTTGTCAGCACACAGAGGACAGCAGAGTCTCAAGTGACAAGCAGAGGAGAAAAGGCAATTGATAAAATCAAGACAGTTCACTTTGATGTCAAACCCCATGGGTGTTTGTTCTGGCATGAAAAATAACAGAAGCCTTTTCACTTTTGCATCATGCTAGCCAGGGGAACCCTGATTTCCAGCCGCAATTGCCCTCCTTAGGCAGGATGTCACTGTCCATTAGGAGAGTTGGCTTTCTGATTAAGAGTGAAATCAGAAAGGCTGGCCTTGGATCTTGGCTCTGTAGTACACTAGCTGTTAATTTCAGTTAAGGACCTAACCTTTTCAAACCTCAGTCTTTTCATCTGTAAAACAGGAATAATTATAGTGTCTACCATCTATGGTTATTTTATGACTGAATGAGACAAAACGTACAGTTCTTGATTCAATGCTTCATCAGTACTGACTGTTCAGTAATTGTTCATAAAAATAATTATGATTATTATTTCTATTGTGGTCCAAGGTTCTGAAGAGAAGAATGAGTTGAAGGTCTAAGTTCACCTTGAATTTTCCATTTTCCAGAGGGCTGTTACGGACACTATTGTATAAGCCAGATTGGTGCTCAGTGACTCGATTTTGCCCTGGTGGCTCTGAGATGTCCCCAGGCCTTTTCCTGGTGGGCAGGAGGTTAAGCATGCTTTTTATCCTCACTTGTCAGTCAACTGCTCCTCTCTCATCAAGAAAGCCAGGAGACTAGGATGGAAGGCCACTGCATCCAAGCCCCAGCTTCAGGGGTACACACAAGACATTTGTAAAGCAGATGGAATGTCCTGCTTTTACACATTATACTTATGGCTTCTCAGGAGGACAGGGTGGTCCATTTTAAGACTTAAA